AGAAGCAGCAAATGCACCAATGAGCAAAGACTCTTGTTCACTAAAGCCCCCCTGGTTTAGTTCTGTCTCCCACCTTTCTAAAAGACAAACACAAAGCACATTCCTTTTAACTAAAGACGCTCCCCACGCTGGAAATCAAAAGAAAGACGTTCCTTCAGTCGACAGATTCATCCGGTCTGATATCTGGCATTTTGGCGTCTGTGCTCATGAGGACGATAAACACAAAATGTCTTGAGACAAATCTGAAGACTTCATAATAAAGATAGTTTTCTCAAATGTTTTTCAAGTTAAGATAAGTGGAGAGGACATCTCATTTTTTTATCCATTTCAAAACAGATGATTAAATTATTAAATGTTCAGTTAATTTCAGCAAACTTGTGTCGTATTTGTAATAAGTATTATACTGTAGTATATTATTAGATTTGTTTGTTGACTGGATCTGATCAAATATTTTCTTTGAACTTTAAAACACAACAACTGAGAAATGTGTATAATAAATGTAGGACTTCACTGTTCTTACCCGATGAATCTCCTCCAAAAGCAGCTTGGCACAGTTCCTCCCGAGGTCCTCTGGCAGTATAGTGTCTCCCTGCCCCTGTGGCGTGGACGACATCTCGGCACTGAGGAAGGAGCCGTTCAGCGTCTCGGCAACTAGCGTCAAGCCGAAACCTGGAGACCTGAATGTTAACAGACATAAATCACTGAGCGGCTTCTTTAATGAGACTAACAGACACATACAGAAAAGCTGGAAATCACTAGCTAATGTATATAATGTACATTGAGGTACTCACTTGCCGGAGTTGGCTCCTTTCATGTGGTCCGTGTAGATGTAGATGTCTGGGATGAACTGGTTGAGGACGGCTCTGGTGGAGTCCACTATCCTGTTCGCCATCTGAGGAGAAACTCGCACCGAATATCTGGGTTTCGAAAGTTAAGGCTCTTTCACGACTCATTTAACAGAGTGAGTTTGTTCAAATGTAATTGTGGTCTTCTGGGGTAACAACATAATCATCACACACACACCAATATTCACTAAGCTCAAGAAACAACTCCCTGGCATATTGTATAAAGCAATTATTACAGGAAATGAATCACAATTCTAGCTTGCTTGTACAACTTTATGACTGTGTACAGATGACAAGGATACGCCATTCCTCGGATCCTCTTGATCTTTCCTGGGTCTGTGAACTGCACTGGTTTGATGGTTCTGCGGACAGGACATGTGAACACCACCTCTCCTCCCCCACCTGGTGCCATCCCCCTCCTTACCACCTGAGAGAGCAGAGAGAGAGAGAGAGAGAGAGAGAAGGGGATTGAGGCAAGCGTCCTATTTTCTTTATCGTAACAGGAAAACAATATATTTGCATTTGCTGGAAAAATGAATGAATACAAAAATGATAATAATATGCCACCCTTTTTAAAAGGCAACACGATGTCTTCACCTTAAGATCAAAACCCTCTCCATCAATGCCAAACTTCTTCATCAGAGGAAGAGCGGTGGACTTCAGCAGGTCGACCTGAAGCAGACAAACAGCGTTAAAATCCCAAAATCCATACGAACGTGTCCGCAAAGGATTAAACATTGCAACTACCTAATGAAAAACCAAAATAAAAGTCTGCACTGGACCATTTCTCATCACGGCAACAACAAGCAGAGATGCTGCTCAGTGTTTCCATGACAACACGTCTCTTCACTTCTTACTGCCTTGTGTCTGGTTTGTTGACATTATGCACTTAAAAAAAAAAAGCAAAGAGCAGGAAATGGCTGATGCAGTGTCTGAGTGCTTCACTATAACGAGACATAAAACATTTAAACAAACTCAGTGGCCACAGATTTAGAGATAAAACTTAGAGTCTCAGCAAAGAATAAGGTACATTTTTGTGAAACAAAACTATTGGATGATTTTACAGTCAATATATCAACCTCTGAATTGTTTTAAATTCACCCTGGTGGTGACCCAGACTGTTGTGTTCCATTCTACAGACATCAGCTCTTCTCTGCAACACTGCTGACTCTGGCATATAATTGCACATAATGATGTGTGCACAAGAGGGCAGTGTCCTTTTGGATTTAGGAGGCGTGCACTTATCCACAACATAGTTTACATATTCTCTGCAGAGGCATGCTTCAGCGCCACACCCAGTTTGATCACGAGAGTTGAGTCATAATAAAATCAGAGGGACAAATGCGGGAGACGATGAGTATTGGTTAGAGGATGATGAGCGTGTCCTCACAGACGGGTCGACTGGGTCGTTGGTCACTCCCCTCAGAGTGGCCTTCAGGGAGTTCTTCATGAACGGAGCCAGCATGAGCAGCGCTTCCAGGTAGTAACCGATGGAGCGCTGCGGGTGACAGTCGTGTTCTACCGTGCCTCCATACAACAAGCCAGGCTGGTAGAATAACACAGTGCCTAGAGGGGACAGAAAATGAAGACAGTGAGTTTCCAGAGGGGCTGTATGTAAGAACATTGTCTTTAATTATTAATTCCTTTTAGCAAGTTGGTGTTTTGATGACTTTTCTAACATGTGACGGATGTGAAATTGACAGAATACAAATATCTCAGGATGAAAAAGTTGGTGTCATACACACTGAAGATGCAGATGAAGATGACAACTTGAAAACACGAGTTAGAGCCTTTGGTGATAAGCACCGATACAGAGCTGTCGTTTAGTTTATACAACATTTCCTGCCCCGCCTGAATATTCTGAACATTATCCCCTTGTGAATTTATATCACAATCTCCACCTGCGTTGGAAAAGCAAACACCAGAAAATATCCACATTTTCCAGACTTTAGGAAAAAGGCTTGAAGCCTTGAACTCGAAAAGAATGAGAATGACACAGCATGAAACTACATGATTATAAGAGGGAGAAATAATGGAAAACACTGCACATCTTAAAAACAAGTATAGTCGGTGACTCCCTCAACACACTTTCACAACCTGACAGTAAACCCAGTTATTAGATGGACCCCATAGTCTGCAGCTTCACCTCACATCCTCTTTACCTGTTTGGTTGATCTCTATTCTGGAGCCGTTGGTCACTTTGTCCAAGAGTCTGATGAAGCTGGCTTCAAAATCTGCAGAAGAAAAGGACAAACACAGTGAATCAAACAATGAGACACGTTTTCTTAGTTTCAGCAAAGTCTACGATAACTTATTAAATGTCAGCAATAACAATAACAATAGAACAATAGAAGTGTTTTCCATATTTCCCCAGAACATATGGAGTCCGTGAAGTAAAATTCTAGATTCTGGTCATTACACTGGAAAAACTTCTGACGATGTTCACTCACATTTGTCGAGTTAAAGTCACACGGATGAAATCAAAACGCAGCTCAACAACATTTCCCTTTCGTGCAACATCACCACACAAACTCACTGCATCACGCCGTCGCTGCACTCGTCCCCCATTAACCACGCCATCACCCTCGCCTCCCCCACGCCCGACGCCCTGTTGACCAGCCTCACTCCCAACTGCGTAACAGCTAGCACGTTAGCCTCGGTGCTAACTGCGACGCCACACGCGGAGCGGGGGCAGAGACTCACCGCGCAGCCCCGGGTCGTCCTCCTTCCAGCGGATGCTCTTGATCTTCACCCGCTTCCCGCTGAGCGTGGACAGCACCAGCCGCTGCCTGAAGAAGTTGCAGCCGTCGTAGTCGAGCCCGTGGCTGGCCATGATGTTGTTTGTGTTCGAGCGTCAGTGGGAATCCACGTGTGTTTGTCCAGGAAGACGCGTGTGGTGGGAGGGGACGGGTACGGCAGAGCGGGAGGGACAAACGCGATTGTTTTGTTTTAAGGATGCCGTGCTGCGGCTGGACGCTAGGTGGCACCAGAGCAACATTCAGGAAGACAATATCATGTGGGCGTGGTTGGATTCTGACGTTAAACCTTAAAGGCACAAAACCGGATTAAAATGTAAACAAAAGGAATTATCAATATTTACCCATATTATTAGATTTGAATTGTCAAGGACCGTAAACAGATGCACAATATAGTGACTTCAACTGAACATTTAATAAGATAGATAGATAGATAGATAGATAGATAGATAGATAGATACTTTCAATCACATGCTGGGAACAGTCACTTGTTACAGAAGCAGATATTCAAAACCAGGTCGACAAGAAAACATGTGAAAGTATAAAATATATATATTAAAAAAATGTTTTAAAGGAAAAAAAGAAAAGAAACAGAGAATATGTATAATATAACATACACAGAATATTAGGGGTAGAGAAAAGCAGGCTAATTGAACAAAGTGCAGTGGTACAGGATGATTACACAGTATGTTGTGTTTGTGCTTCATGTATAAGGAGATAATGATATGTACACAAGTGCATAGATAAATAGATAGAATATGAGTATAATAAAGGTGTGTATATGGGTATAATTGTGTATTTTATATTCATATCATATTGTTTACTCATGTGAAATTACTTGTCTATATACTTGTTACGTTATGTTATATAGACACAATATAGAGGTATGATATGTACTGTATATACATCGATATTATATTGGCATGATTTCACAATAATAACTAACATAATAATTAGAGCCAGGTTTTCTTGATGTTTTTCATTACTAGTAAAGTCATATTGAGATTAATGATGTATGAAAACCACCGTTTTTTTTTATTTTATGTGGCCAAACTCCTTGAAAACACGTATCTGAAGAGTCTGTTTAATGAGAGAGCAGGTTGTAGTTCACCTCAGGTTGCGTGTAAACCTGCAGCTCTGTGCACTGTATCGAGGCTTGGAAAGGATTAATCAGATCAACCTTGCCAACAAGCTCTCCCCGCCAGTAGAAAAGACCAATTACATAACCGCATTATACAAAAAACACATCTCCACTAAACCGTAAACTGTGACCAAGCCGGCAAGTTTGGATCAGTTCAGTCCGTGTGCGTCAACAGGAGACCGTGACCGCATCCTCCTGTTCTTCTGCTGGTCACAGCTTCATCATCTTCCTCCTCCTCCTTCATTCTCCTCCTCCTCTTCCTCCTGTTTTCTGCGGAGCGGAGTGAAACACAAGTCAAGGTCCACGGAGAGTTTAGCTCCGGTGGAAAAGACGCGCCCACTCTTGGTTACGCTGCGCATTTCTTAGGAGAGAAACCTGCTCGGATCCGGACTTGGCTGCGCATCCAGAGGAGGAGGTGCTGCTCGGGGCTTTCATGGGGAATACACGGATATTCCTCTTATAGCAATTCGATAAGTAGTCGTTGAATAATGGCTCTTCAAAAGATTTTCCGGGCTGTCATCATGGGGCCTCCTGGATCGGGGAAAGGAACAGTGTCTGCGCGCATAACTAAAACTTTTCGACTGAATCACCTCTCGAGTGGGGACATCCTGAGAGGCAACATCAACGCTAAAACTGGTGAGACACGGGGGATATGTACACTAACAAATACCGATACAGTGTTTAAATGATCTGGAACAACATCTGCACATGTTTTTTTGCCTGTTAACCTGTTTTTAATAAATATTATCCTTTTCCTCCCAGAGCATAACAAACTTATCATTGTGCTCAAGACACAAAAAATATTACACTTAATTAAACTATTTATATTCACTATGAGTTATTGTGTCCAAAATACTAATACTGCTGTCTAAGTTTGTTTTCTGGGCTGTTGTGATAAAAGGTCCACTCCTAAACTTTCACATCTTATCTCTACCGCAGAGAAATAGGAGTAGAAAAGAAGCAGGCATCTCTTCAGTCAAGGTCAAAATGGGTAGCATGTACTAATAGAGCATGTTTGTACTGGAAACAGTTGAGCCAACATTACCTGGTACCTCTCAAATTCACCTTGAAGAAAGATAAAGGAAGGTGTAAAAAGATAAGGAAAGCCTGTGCACCTTTGTTCCCTGAGAGGAGGAGCAACAGATGAAGAAATGTGTGACGGAGTACAACTGCAGGAATGGTTTAACCCAGGGGTGTAATGCCAGGGTGAACTGAGGCCGTGGTGACTCCTGCAGAGATTGCTCAAGCTTTAATTATTATTTATGCATGCATGCATTTCCCCTCCTCATGCCCATGTTGTAGTTTCATACTGCAATGTCTCTGTGCAACAGTTCAACTGAAATTCAGCCGAGCAGCAGTTAGAGCAGTGAAAGCATTTTTCCTGTTGACTTTTCCCCCAAACAGTTGTTGGACCTGCAGCCGTGACCTTCCACTTCCTGAGGCCTGTGCCACACCATCCTCGTCTGCAGTAAAACCTCTTTTCGGTGTGAGCACTGCAGATAAACTCTAATCTATCAAATAGTCTAATCCATTTACTTGTAGAAAAAGTTATCTCTAAAGCAATATTTGTCTTGTTAAAGCCATGCAGCAATGTCTTTGCTTTCTAGACACCTTGCTCAGGGTCATGCAAAATGTATTATGCAACATATCATTTTCGTGTAGAACCAGATCAGAGGACGGATCAAGTATTTATCACATCCTAAACACAAAATAAGCATAAACTTATTTAGCAGTTTTTGTCAGAGCAATGCTGCAGAACACCATTAATTATTTTACGTGTAAAATTCTAGTCAACCTCTTTATGTAAGTTTCCTAACCAAGTTTTATAGCCTCTTTTACCCTTTGCTCTGTCTTACTGACAGAGAAGCAGTCAGGTCATTTCTCGAGGCTTGTCAGGAAATACCTTTCATTTGCTGGACTCAGACCAATTAAAGTGGAAGAAACAGGAAAAATATCTCATGCTTTAAAATCCTTACCCTGGATTATACCTTTAAAACGTGCATTTGTCAGTTTTGCAGTAAAGAATGTCCCGTTCTGTGTCAGAGTCTGTACTCAAATTCCTCTGTTTGCTTTTGCAGCTTGATTACAGCCACAATATAATGACATAAAAATATGCCAGATTTTCCATGCATCATTTCAAACACGTTCCCGGGTAAACATCTGGTTCTTTTTTTCACATTTTAAATACAGTTCTATGGTGTTGCCCAATGCTCAGCTGTACAGCATGCACTTATAATAATGGACACATGAACAGAGCTGAAGCAGCTTAATAATTTCTGCAGGGTGATTAAAGCATTAGCTTCTTCGTATGATCAGCATCTACCCCCCTCTGTGTTTTTGTGTCAGAGCTCGGCCTGTTGTTGAAGTCCTGCATCGATCAGGGTCAGCTCGTACCCGATCACGTCATGTCTCGTCTCATCCTGAGTGACCTGAGAGCCATGGGCAAGAGCAGCTGGCTGCTTGATGGTAGGTGTGTAGAGTCGTTTGGAGAATCCTCCATAGGGATGGGAGGATAAGTTCTCTTTGACCTCATTCACATCCTGGCACAGTTATTTATCACATCCCACGTCCTCATCCCTTTGCTTTTCCTCCATCTGTCTCTCTCGCTCTACAGGTTTCCCTCGCACAGTGTCCCAGGCGGAGGCGCTGGACGACGCCTACAGTGTGGACACAGTCATCAACCTCAACGTTCCTTTCCAGACCATCAAACAGAGGCTGACCTCTCGCTGGACTCACCTTCCCAGCGGCAGAGTCTACAACATAGATTTCAATCCACCTAAAGTCCCAGTAAATACATCCTCTCTTACTTCATTAAACATAGATGTGTCTTTTCAAGCACAGATGTCTAAAAGCATTTTGGATATAAACTCAGAGACTCAAACTCTTGAGCAGAACATTAATGTTCACTCTGTCGCAATGAGGTAAACATTAGCAAGATGGCCAGCTGCTCTGCTGGCTCTGTGTTTAAGCATCACAAGAATCCAATGGAAACACAGTGATGATGTTTCACACCGGGTGAAACTGCAAGAAAATCTAAAACTCGCTGAGAAATGTTTTGACATTCTTCAGCTTTACTACTGTCGGCACCTTCCCTCTGGCACCACTCTGTGTGTCTTGAGCAGTGTTTATATTCCACATTCTGTGTATCTGGCTTTGAGCTCGACACGTCCTGCTCTTTGTTGCACAACAGACATTCACATTTAGCAACTTTGTCTCAGCAGGTTCACTTCTCCTTTTCCCTCTGCAAAACCCCCACTGTATGAGATCGCTCATTATTCTTCAGCAGTTACAGAAGCATCTGAAAATATATAACATATACAGTGTGTTGTGCATGGGTCTTTTTTATGCAATTGGGTCACTAACAACATCATTTGTTCCTGTGTTTTCTCCAGGGTTTCGATGACGTCACAGGAGAGCCTCTGGTCCAGAGGGTTGATGACACACCAGAGACAGTAACACGAAGACTGAAGTCCTATGAAACCCAGACAGAGCCTGTGTTAGAGTACTACAGGTAGAAAAGTACAGACAAATCAACCCACGAACACTTTTTAAAACAGTATTAGAATACTAGGACTTATATCTCAACATAAAGGAGTAAAGGCTGCAGCCAAATGCTATTGGGCTCTGACCTCTCTGCACATACCTCACAGTTGCTTATATAAATTATAAAAATATATAATTAATCTTTAAGGTTTACCAGAAACAACAAAAGCTTGCAGGCAAAAGCTGAAATACTAAACTTGTGAGGCTTCAGACCCAGTTCACAAGTACATGCATCATAATTTCTATTTCTGGATCAATTAGGGCAAGAAAACATATTACTCTGTGTTCCCTAAAACCACAGGGGTGTATGCTCAACTAGTGCTCCACTTATTCTTATTTGATCATAAAGTTTGAGAGGCCATTTATCATTTGAAGAAAGTACAGGAAACTACAGAATAGAAGGATGCCTTTTATGGAAGTAATACTGATAGATCTATAGTATCTGCAGGTTTTTTCTGATTGTAAAAAATGATTTCCATGTTCTTTGCCTCTCCAGGAGTAAAGGTGTGCTCGAGACCTTCTCAGGGACAGAAACCAACAAGATCTGGCCACACGTGAAAGCGTTCCTCCACAGAAAACTTCCCTCTATTAATCAGGAAGCTGCTTAGAAAACCTGAAGAGAAAAGACCCAGAAAGTCTTAACGTTTACCAGCGGGAAACACTCTGTACGCACTGTCCAATCAAAGTGCCACTTTCTGTGAAACAAGAGGAGTCATCCGTGTGGTAATATAACATGATGAGAGCAGTTTAAGTCAGGTAGGAAGGGTCCGACTCCAGATTTCGTTGGGATCCACTTTTGAAGTGCTTATTGTACCACTGTTGCACTGCTTTCACAATGTTGCTGAAAGTAGTTCAACATACTCTCAGGACGTGTGTATAAACTCCTTTAAACGCTAGTTGTTAGAATTTACCCAGATTATATCTCTTCTATAATGTGCCTTTAAATAAGATTTGAGTAATAGATCTTTCACAGTAGAACAATAAGGTTCTTAAGATACGTTTGCAATATGATGATGGGGACAGTTGTAAATGTTAAAGCGTCTGTGTGTGAAGATACAGTATGTTCACATTTATAACTTTTAAGTTTCCTTGACAGCCAAGACTTCTCTCCTTAGTTGAAAATATTGTAGACATAACAAAGGTGTTTATATCTGTTTATGCACTAAAGGGAAATGTGCCATGGTCTTATGTAAATTAAGTGCACTCAAGTGCCTTTAGCTGCTTTTGGAAAACGTACTGGTGAATGTGGACGACTGACTGAATCATGTATTAACTGACTACACTTATCAAGCTGTACTGACTATTTAAAATAATTTAATTTAACCTTTCAACCATCCAAAGTCTTAAATTGCCTCTTAAATAACTGATCAAGCCTGTTTAATGTGACTTGACGAGTAAGAACCCTTATTGAAAAATGACTGTTCATCCACAGTCCTGTTTAAATGCACTGTTTCACCATCACAGTAATGTTAACCTGCCTTGTGTCATGAATTGTTCTGTAAACACTTGAATAAAACACATCTCCTCTTCATAGCTCAACTCTCATAACTTGAGTATTTATCATGAATGACATTGAATCTCTCATGCTAGTTTCTGTATTTAGTGATATTTAAAACCAGACTGTTTCAATTTGACTGATTATGAGCGTCAGAAGTATCAAAATCAATGCAACAGATCCATATATTTATTTATTTATTCCACAGTTTTCTTTCTTAGCAAAACCTGGAGCCTACATTACCCACGATACAACTTGACAATCGGTTCATGAAAGCTTTTCAAACACAATTTAAATGTTTAAATATTAAGCACTGGTGGTTTTATATTTGAGTGTCTTACAGTGGAACAAGAAGCCAAATCTTACTGCCGCTTGCTGTCAGTGAAGAAATGTTACACCAAGATTTTTCCTAAAAGCTTAGCGCTGACTGACAGAGATACAGATACCAATTTTACACTTTGTGCTGATAGCGTCAAAAACACAGGATATATAGTAGAAAGACTCCAGAGACACTGGCCACAGGTTAAGTACAGCAGTTTAAGCCCAACAGTTGTTTTGCATAGTTGACAAGTCAATGTGGACCATATAAAAAGAAAAGAACATTGAAGTCCACTACGGCACATAGTTTAACATCACTGCGCACATTACCTGTTTGCATTAACAGTATTTATGGTGCTTTTCACGTTTCACTGCAGAATCAACGATGCATCACACAGAAGCTTGTGATGAATTGTACATTAATGCATCGGAAGTTATTTCTAATGTTGCAGTCTTGTAAAAATCTTACTGTATGATTTCGTCTTTCAAAATAAAAAGCAGGATTGTAGAAGTTCCTTGGAAGCCTAATGAATGTGGCAAAAGCTCCCCTGAACAAAAAGAAGATGGTCAAATAACACAAGTTAAAACAAAAACACCACAATTCAACCCACAAGCTGAAAAAGAAAATAAAGATGTTCTGAGTTTCTGATTCAATTCTTGATGACTGGGAGCACAACAAAAATAAAATACAAAACTAAAATCTGCTAAATTTAAAGTGCAGGACATTCAAATGCAGAGAGCTTCCTTCTGCACACAAATATACAGTAGAAGTCTCTCGGTGGAGAACACAGCCCTTTTATTCCTCCCCTTCACACTCCAACTCAAACCACACACACTGACAACAGTCTGCACAGAGCACTCGCTACAACTGTGGTTGTGACTCTGTTTCAGATGCTGGGTCAAAGACAGCAAGCTTGTACAGAAATATAAGTTAGTTTCAATCTAGAACATAACAGAACCACAGAAAAATAAATACACAAAGCCTACACAGACCTAGGAAAATAAAACATAGAGAATTTGGCAAGATTTGCACTTTATCTACTGTACTCAAGGTTGAAATTATATCATCTGTGTCACAGCAGAAATGTGAAAATAAGATGCACCGGATGGAAAAACTCCACAGGAGAACAATTCAACTGATGAATTATGTGACAAATGTAGTGCTCTCTTTACAGCTTCCACTGCCTCTTGCACAGATAATACCTGGATGTGAAATATTTATCATTACTTATAACTAAAACTGGGTTGTCACTTTATGTATTAATGTACGTCAAACTCTGAACGCTTTGTCATGTAAAAAATGCTGGGTTATCATATTGTGTCAAACATAATCTTTCACACGAATAACAAACAGTGTGAAATGTTGTTTTTAGTGTTTGTCGTTGCCTTATAACCAGCAGCTAAAATAAATGGAGACATAACAATAAGAGCCAGAAGTGCACAACACTGATCCCTTTTAAAATACAGTATATTGTTGAACTCTGTTGTTGTATGTTAAATGGAAACTCAAATGATTTGCAAGTGATGCTATGGTTCACGGTGGGAATACAATAGTGTATATAGAGTGAAAAATATACAGTTTAAATGTTTCCTAAATAAAATCTGTATGCCACAGATAGTTGAAGTTAGTTAGTGGCACATGTGAATGAGCTTCAAGTTGGATTACTGATTCACTTTAATAGCTTCTTAAGCCTCTCCAGACAACACTAGGAAGAACCTTAAACATTAAAACTCAGAATAAAACCAATACTGCTAATTAGCAAAGAGTTCAAAGCAAACCATGTAAGGCAACGCTGTTTTAAAAAAAAAAACTCCCTTTAAAACTTGTAAAAGCTGTGTTGTAAGATAAAACCATGGATTTTATACAACGTTGGTGCTCTTGCTTCACTTTGAGCAACAAGTCTGGTTGGTCTTTGCAACTTTACCGGCAAAAAAGAAGGAACTGCAACAAAATAACGTTTGACAAAAGCCAAGTGAAAGTTAAAGGTGCAATATGTAAGTGTACTCTGCCGTTGAACATAGTTTCTTGCAGGAAGCTGTAAGTGCTGAAGTCTTGAGGGGCGCTTGTAAAACGCTTTAGCACTACTTCTTCAGGACAGGCTGGACGCTACAGTGGGTCACTGTTGGAAAGTTGTGAAGATAGGCCAGCTGGGCCAGAGCTAGCTGGTTAGCATGCTAACTTCAGTGGGAGCAAAGTAGTCATAACATTGGTGTTGCTTTCCACCTTTTCAATAAGTCTGAAGGTTTGAATTTGCAGCGTTTCTGCTAAACTGGCAGGTGAACAGCTGTTAATGCTCACACTAGCTATGAAGCAACAAACACATGTAGCTCCTCTAAAACATTTACACCAAACATTACAACTCCTGTTCTAACCAAGTGACCTGTGCCACCCACACATGCTGCATTTTGAATCCTGGCCCAACTGTGAGCCTGAGAGACCTTTCAGATTGTGTTCAACTCTTAACATGCAGATCAGTTGTAAGCCTGAACGAGCCGCAGGCATTTGGTGAATGTGACCCACTCCAGAAGAGCCTTCAATCTGATCTATAACTAACTGTTCCTTCTCTCTGGTGTCTTAGGTTGAAGAGGGCTCGATGGAAACATCCAGGTAACCACAACCGGAGCATCTTTACTGCCTGTTTATGTCAGATATTAATTATTAATTCATAATTATTATTCAGACATTAAATACATTCAGACTGCAGATTAGCATGAAGTCAGCAAATGTAGTGAGCCACTTTAAAAATAAAAAACGAAGTCTTATGTAACACAAATCCTTAAGATGTGAGGCCGAGTCTTAACCAGATAGTGTATTGTTTGATCAGTTTACTTTTTTCATTTTTTTTATTTCTCTTCAAAGTGTAGTTTGAAACACGACGCAATTTTTGGTTTGCATTGTAACTGATAGTAAATGCATTCATCTGGCAGTCAAGAGTCTCTCAAACTTTCCATGTTTCATTTTAAGCATCTGTGACATTTTGCTGAGAGATTTTATGCAGACTTTGTCGAGTAAAATTGGTTTAACGTCCGGTTCGACTGATTCAGACACATGAGGATCCTCTGGGTAATGTACAGGGTTGCAGTGCATTCTTAAAAGCAGATTTAATCTCTCGCATACCACACACCCTCCGCCTGGGTATAAAACAGCTGCTCCTCTCTGGAACTCACTGAACAGAGCAGATGCAGGTCAACTCACAGGTCGATACTGGCAGCTCTCTTCTGGGGCAAGTAACTATGGTTTGACCAAGAAAGCACTAAGTGTGTTACATAATAGAAACAATTCTCAGAGGCGGCCAATGAGGAGACTTCCAAAACTCAGCTGGTGGACCAACGGTGTGACTTGATCACAAACTAATTTCTATTACTCACTCACGGATGACACATACACAGATGCCAATAACCATCTAGATAATGAGAGGGTCACAAAACCAGTGTTATGGCACAACTCATTCATTTAGCTGGCAAAAGACACTGCAGGAGCGAATAGCCAGACGCCGCTGACGTGCTAACAGAAAACCTGTCATCAGTAAAACATTATTTTCTGCACTGAAAAATTAAATACTGATCATGTCTCTGTTAACTCCTGCTCTGCGTTGCTGTTTACGAGTATCTGCTGTCGAAGGAGGGCTTCAAACTCTTGTTCCTGGACAGGGAGACGATGGAGATGGAAGAAAAGCTGGAGCCAATCACTAGGAGGTCTCCATCATGCGTATGTCCTCTGTTTCTGTGGCGTCGTCCTTTGTCCACCTTCCTGTGCTTGTCCACAGTCCTGCCTCTAAACAACGCTTCATATGATACTCTGCCACCTGGTGGAGGGAGACAAAAGGAAGAGGGGTCAAATGACAGTAAACAAATGAGAGTAAATATCAAAATCGAAAATAGGTCAAAATAAACAGAGCTAGGGCGACAGACTCTGGGAGGTTAACATACTGCTGCCCAGTTAAAGAGGATTATAATAGTTATGTAACAGCACTCTGGCTCTTAAACATTTCAAATCTGAGCTGACACTGAAATTCTGATTTAAAACATTGCTCTGTGCTTTGATTTTATCACTAGCTACAGCAAATCTGTGAGGGTAAAACCTCGTGTTTTTCTTTTAAAAGCTGAGGTGAAGAGAGACGCTACAAGAGGAAAAAAGCAAAACTGCAAAAGCAGGACCAGAACCAGCTTTAGGCTCGATCACATTCCTCTGTGGGAGAAGAGGAGGAGCTTTTTCTCCTCTTTTCTCTGGTGAGTAGATGTTTGGCAACTTTTCAAATTGTGAGGCCAACAGAAGGGGGAGGGTCTCATTCTCTCCTGCTTACAAACCAGAGATTAGAAAAGCCTGTGGAGTATGCCATTTGGAAACTTTCACACTAGACTTCATCTAAATATTGAAATCCTTGCCCTCAAATAAAAATCTCTCACCCTAGTTTAAGGGTTAGGAGAGACTGATGTTCTCGATGACATGTTCTATTGTTTGTATTGAGAAAAGGAGATCCAAGAAGAATACAGTAATCGCTGTTACCTGTGTTTCAATAGCAATGGGGAAAGTGAGAAAAACTTACTGGAGTTAAAGTGTCCAAGGAGTCTTTGGGGTCAGGTCTGCAGTTTGTGTCACTGCTCTGGATTTCAGTGTTGTTGGGGGTATCACCTCTACACTTCACTGCATATTCTTTAACTCTGTGTTTGAAGGCCTCGAGCTCTGTATGGAAGACTTCTAAGTAAACATCTTGTCCTTCCTGTAAAGTATTAAAGACAACAATAAAACAACATATATCTTGTCTTCCAGTTTCTATTCCAAAAACAACTAAATTCAAATTCAAATTCAAAATCATTTAGCTATTTTCCTTTGTGGTCTTCTAAATGGACCGCTGAAGCTGATTTTCATATCCAACAGTATGAAAGCCTAAAGTAGGTACACAAGTAGAGGTAGGTAGCATCTTATCTTGCAGCTTACTTTGGTTTTGTGGAAGAACTGCCTGAAGCAGCCTCTGGGATCCTGCTGAGAGTTCTGGGCCATCTCCAGGATGAACTGCATGACGACAGCTTGGTGCGCCACCTGCTCCATCAGCGCTTCTTTCTGCAGGAGCGTTAAAAAACAACTGTTTCTCAACAGGTCACCCATTAAAAGCACTCAAATCGTTCAGTCTAAAGATGTTGATTCAACTGTGTGGTCATTCTGAAGCATTTACACACTGATGCTATTCAAATCTATGGAGTTATGTTGACAAATGTACCAAATTGCTTCGGTCTTGTGATGGTGTTGTTAAAAAGTGGTTGATGATTAAAAAGACAAAATAGTATGAGCCTTATCTCATCTGTACGTTACCCCTTCTTGCTGTAGTCTCATGCACCACAGAATTAAGTAGTTGGCTGTTTCCTCGCAGATGAGCTGAGGCATGTCTGCAAGGAATCGCTGACTGTCGTCCCATCTCCTCAACATACCTGAAAATGTTAGTTTGTTTTATGAAGATGTAAAAAGGTCCTTAGGATAGGAAAGACGGTATATTATTAAACTGAAAACAATGTAGTCACAGTCTTTTTCAACCGTTAATCTGCAGGCAAAACAATTCCTATTACATCTGACTTAGTGTGGGACTTACCAAAATGCCTGAGCTCATTCTCATACTTTTGGAGAAACGTATTGCACTTGTCCTGGTCCATTTCAACAGGCTGAATTTGGGCATTAATTATACTCTGTGAGAGAGAGAAGACATAACTCAGATTACAACGTTACTACATGGTGAGCAGACAGAAGCTAACCCACAGGAAAATAAGTGAAAATGTTAAATCACAACAGCAAAATGGATCTCTCTTCTTTAAATCTTCTAATAATGAATGCTACCTTATCAAAGACATCCCAACTTCCGACAGCTCCGACCACAGGACTGCGGTTTGGTTCTTGACCTCCCAGCATGCTCTCCTTGCGCCGCCACTCCTCCTCAGTGTGTGTGAGCTCTGTGGGACAGGCCAGTGTTCGAGCGCGTTCCTGCTCCAGGGACTCAGAGCTGTGAACCCCTAGAGAACATAGCTGGTCCTGTGCTTCAGCCAATCTCCAGCTGGAGACAATTGAGGCCTTAACACAGCGCTGCTGGCTCTGACACAGTGACGCCATAGGACAGTCACAAAGCTGCGATGATGGTGTCTGGAGTGAGGTAAATGGAATAAAAAAAATTTTTTTTAAAAAGAAAAGGAACAAACTGTCAGTGACTCAATAAAATTCGTTTAAACATATTCCTCAGTAGCTAACTGTTAATTGAGATTTTTAAAATCCTGCCTAGACCTAAAACAGCTAGAAAAGGTATCGTTCTTTATGTTTCGTGCGGAGAAAAATCTGACTTGTGTTATGAAAGAAACTTGTCAGACTTTAAACAGGGGATGCTGAAAGGAAATATTATTTGTTGCCTCAGAGGCTAATTCAACATTAGACTGTAGCTGACGGTCTGATTGAGGTACTCCATGTATTGCACAAGCAGATTTGAGAAAAGTGTTTCAGACTTCAGACTTATTTGCTGATGCAGAGAGATGGATTATACCTCATTGGTTTCTCATCAACCAGTTTTTCCACAGATATATCTCCTATCTTCAGAGTGAACGGCTGGTAGCAACAAACTGTGGCCGAAGCACATAAAGCGCAGGCCCATTGGCTTTTAAACCCTCATCACCACAACCACGTTCTATTTAGGAGCAGGGTGGGGCGAGAGGGCTATAAATAAAATAAAACTTGTCCAAAGCTTCATGGCTACACAAACAACCAAATACCTTATCTAGTCCCCAACAGCAACCACACTCAGCTGTCATCAGTGTCAGAGACCTAATGCAGGACCTGTGGGACAGTGAGCTGCTGCCTCACGTCCACTTCTGTCCTCTGATCTCACCAACCATCCCACACAGGGACGAGCTCTGTCCAGAGCTGATTTTAGCAGCGTCCTGACAAGATGGAGACATTGCCAGTGATCCGTTCACCTCAAGGCAACATGTTTAAACAGGTTATAAAGGGATCTGTGTTTTTAGCAGGTTAGCATTGACACTAGGATGAACACTGACGTTTACCGACCACACACACAACAAACTAACAGATTAAACAAACCCACTTTAAAGCGATAGAAACTGGGCAGCAGAATAAACACAAGACGCCATTGCAAACCCATCAGTTTCCCACACGTTGCTAACTATCAAGCTGTGAACTTCAGCACAAACTCACTGCAAACATCTACAGGGTTAGCTAGCTAGCATGTTTTTAAAACCGTTAACTCACCGCTGACTTCAGACACATCTCTCGCTAACAACACAAACTCAGTTACCTGCCGCTGAGGATCACCAACCCCGTGGACCCCGGCTGCTGAAGCTGGGTCACCGCCGGACTCTTCCACGGGGTAAACCTTGGCTCCGGTGCCCCGCCACTCCATCCCTGCTTAGCAGCTAGCCGTTAGCTCCGCCGTGGGACCCGCTAGCTAGCATATGCTAGCTGAGGCTTGGAAGGGATCAGAGGCAGAGCGGCTCTCTGCGCCGGGCGGTCAGCCACGTTTTAGACGAGAGGTCAGCGGGTCCGGCTGGAGGAGGAGGAGGAGGAGGAGGAGGAGGAGGAGGAGGAGGAGGAGGAGAAGGAGAAGCACCAGCTCCTCAAACAACAACAACCAGAACCACACTGACTCCTGCTGGGACCGCTAGTTTATTCTTTAATGAGTGACACACAGAGCACGTGGTAAACAAGTTTAACCACGTGACAAAGTTTTTCTCACGAATGTATGATTGTTATTATGATTATCATTGTTACACGTACATGGTTTCCTCGTGGCCAGCATCGGGCGTTAAAGTATCCCCAAAAACATTAACGGTAGAGTTAAATTAATCACTGTTGATGAATACATTTAGAAGGACCACCATTAAATAATCAGTGTTTGTAAATGCTTAAACGAAACAACTCTAATATCGTTGTGGCCAGATTCCAGAAGGGTTTGTTGTTGCTTGCTGTAAAGATTTAAACTTTTATTCCAAAGGCTTTACATACACTTGTATTTCATTTTATATGTAAGTAAGATATATTTTCTCATAGGCCTCTCTGGCTCTGATTTGAATCGAAAGCCTGACTGTTATCTAAATATTTATCCTAATAAACAAGTACAACCTAAGTAAAGCATGTTTTTGAATAAATGTAAAAATATATGCATAGTTAAGCTTGTGGTGGACTTATATATTCCATTAGTTATTTAAAACTGGAGATATAAAAATATAAAATCAAATAAAGATAAACATAGGCGATAGTGGTGACAGACTATACTAAGAACATGATCAATGCATTTAAAAGTATATAAAGGATAAATCTGCTCATATATATATATATAATATTAGTGAAATCAAATATTTCAATGCGCCGCTCATGAGAGAAAGAAGTCACTACAAGTACTATGTAAACAAGTCCAGTAGGGGGCGGTAGGTAATTTTGTACGAATGCATGAAAATAAGTAGTAGATGAAGAATTATGTTTGGTATTTTTAGCTCTACATTGAGACTTACAGGCCGTTTTATTTACAGTATATACGGTTTCTGGCTCAAGAGATCAATCTGCAGTGATTTGTGTTAAAGCCGAGAAATGTCTCAGTTGTTGTTGTATCCTGTAATTTATCGAGATTTGTGTACAGTGTGAGGTTTAAATCTGCCTGGCAGGTTTGACCGAGGGCACACTAGCGTACCACCAAAGTCCATTCAGCCTCAATAGCTAACCTGGAGAAAGTCTGGCACCAGTTTACCTGACAGGAGCTCACTGCGAGGAAGTGTCACACGGTGAGAACTTTCCTATCGATAATACACCATCACAGCAGTGACTTTAAAAACCCGACGCTTGTCGACACGTTAAAAACACAAATAAAGTCGACGGTGCAGTGGAGAACAACAGGGAAAGCTAGCATCGATGAGTGTGAGCTAGCTTAAAGTGAGTCGCGATATCTAATATTTACTCGTTTAATGAGGAACGTATCATCGCTATTGTGGGGTTTAGCTAGCTGCTGTAGCACAAACACTACGGGAGGTTCGAGATCGACATGCTAGTATCACGAGCCTTACCTCAGTGGATGGATCAGACAAGCTGATGTTTGTTAGCATGGGAGACTAACGTTGAGGAAGTAGGACGTTCCCTTTCCTAACCTCTAGGTGGGGGTAGAAGATAACAAAAGTCCATTTTGCTTTAGGAAGCTTCCTGGCTGAGTGTAAAGACCCGGAAGTATTTATGCGGCTGCTTCAATAAAAGTTGTTCAAATTCTCTAAATGATGAGGAAAGGAGCATCAGTGCTTCCTAACTTATCTCCTTTAGCAGAGGAAACATCGGACCATCCTTTATGAAGTCAAGTAAAAAATATTAAAAACAGAACAGCTGTTTTTTCTCATGACACGATCCAACCATCTTCTGCTATAAATATATTTCTATGAAGAAAAAAAAATGTTGAGAGTGAGTGAAGTCAGATTTTCTTCGCACAGTGGTTCTCCATTCCTAACTCCTAACTCCTTACTCCTTACCTCTTCTCCTTCACATCTCTCCTTGACCCCGTGAGGTATTCCATCGGGGTCAAGGAATAGTGGTTAGGAAAGGAGATTATTTTCACATTACGAACGCAGCCTTTGACTGCAGGTGCTCTTCCTCTTCCTCCATTTCATCCATCCCGGTGCCAGGGCAGTGAAGGATGCCAAATCCCGCCTCTAGAGCCTGCAGACATTCAGACAGGGAGAAACAACCAGACTTCAGGCCGAATAACAAAACATCCTCAGCCTGAAATTTAGTCTCATAGCCAGCTGGCATCCTGCCCTTTCTCAGGCCGCTGTTCCCACAAGTTTTTCCTCTGTGTGTGTGTGTGTGTGTGTGTGTGTGTGTGTGTGTGTGTGTGTGTGTGTCAATCAGAGACATAGAGTCTGTGATGATGATCACTTTGTCTGCAAAACTGGTTCATGTTGTTGGATCGGCTTCCATGTTGTGGTTTTAATATGTACGTGACACTTCCTCATTTTCTTTTTATATGATTGTCATTTCTTTGCTGTTTTTGGTACCGTGACATCAGTTTAAAGAATTTTCTCCCAACACAGCTCAGAACAAATACACCAGGTACAACACAGTGTAGGGTGGGATATCATGACCTATTAGTTCAGTCTAAAGGTATTACTATATTATGGCACATAATTACATGCTTTTAAATTCAAACAATCAAATCATACTTTCTTTCTAGATACAGCTCTACCCATTTTGTAAATGAAAGCATCTACACTTTTAAGTTATATATATTTGAGCAAATGTGGTGGAGACCTCCTATTTACCCTGTTGTGTTCTGTGTTCCCTCTTCTACATAGTGACAGCAGAAATGAACCGTCAGGCTCCACAGGCAGCAGGTTTGTGTCACAGTTTTTCTACACACACTTCTCTCTAGTTATAATGCAGAATATATGAGGGTTAATTCTAATTGCATGATGGGTACAGTGTCTTATATGTTGCAAGAACAATCCCTGGAATGAAATGCAAACTCTCTTCTAACTTTAAGGTCACTAAGGTCAGGTCACATAGCTTTTATACTGAGTGTTTAGTAAGCATTTGAATTCGTATACAATATATTTGTATATTGTTCAAAGAAACAATCAGGCTAATTTGCTGATTGCTTTGCTGAAACTGGTACCTGACAGTGTTAAATCAAGTTTATGTTTAATTTAAAAAGAAGATATTGAATTTAGTATGAAACTAATTGTGTTTCCACTTTATAGTTAATAACTTTGATTCATTTCTGCTTTGTAGCTTTGTTTACACATTATTTTTGGCTCAAGGGGCTCAGAGTTGACAATGATATCGACATCATCATAGTTGTTATTTCCCTGTAGAGGCTATAAGTATGTGTCAGTCCTCACTGGCATGGAAAACAAGCTGTAGTGGGTCACTTCTGGAGAGGTAATTAACATACAAAAGCTGAATCAAATTCTGTAAGTGCTGGCATGTTCCTCATTTTCAAGATTCAGTAGTAGCACCTTTTTTCCAGCACCTACAACAGAAAATAAGAAAAGAAGCACTTGTAGGGGAATGTTGTGGCATCCTTCCAGTGCAGTTGAGCGCAACCTCTGCCAAGTCACACTGGTGGCTGCAGTGACACTAAATGCCACATTTAGACACTTGATCTTTGTGTTTCCTTTATTTTGGCAGCTGCCTGGCAACAGGCTGTTAGACCTGCCTGTGGATTTAATCTCTGTCTAATTTTACTGAAATTTAAGTGTGACTTTTATTATTTTGTAAAGAGTGGGAGACGAGGATAGTGTCCGATTACTTTAAAATCCACTTAACGAAAACATAGTATTTTTTTCCTCATATTTCAAATTCTCTTGCATCAAAGAGTAAAGAAAAACATTTGCATTCCCAGAGTTGAGTGAGTGCATGTACTGTATGTGTGTCCATGTATTTGTATGTGGTGATGGGGTTATTATGTTGTAATGAATGGGGAGCCTCCAGCTCTGTCATTCACCCACCATTCAAGATTATAAAGAAACTACTTGCTGCACATTCCTCTACTCTCCTCTTTGCTACTTCACTGTCCTCTCCTCTCACAAACGGCAAGGCTGGAGTGAAGTGGGTTGTGCTGTTTGTGTTTGTGTGAGTCCCTGTGCACGTACGCATGTTCGTTAGCAGGATGAATGGGCTGGAGTGGGATTTATAACAGCAGAGAAACAGCAAAGGCAACTTTGTCATTCAGATGTTTGAAATTAAAGGCCCTTTCAGTGTTTTTGCACATCAGTGTATTTGCTACAAATCCGGTCCTCGCTGTTGTTGACCGTTTTCTATGGCACGCTGTATTGTTGCTGTCAAAGCTGTGACATCATGGTGAGATACTGAATGTAGGTTATTATGAAAAGCCAGCAACAATTGAGCATTTCTTGCAAAAATAAAAGCTGTCTTCTCATGCAACGTCTAATTAACTCACCATAGATTCTCATATCAAGTAAAACCACAGATTTCCTGGAAAAAGGACATTCATGAATGGCTTTATACTTTGAAAATGACTGACACCAATGTGAAGCAATGCAAAAGTCTGGCATTGGCACAACTGGAATATAATAAAAACACTGAAAATAATCACAGAGGAAATGATTCAGTGTTTGTTTTATAAAGGGGGAGATTTTTTCTTTGCTGTGATGTTAAAATGAGAAGGAAGGAAGAGAAACTCGGCACCAAGTGAAAAACAACTAACATCTAAGTGAGACAAAAATTTTAGATAATCTTACAAGAGTAAGAGAAGTATGATTTTAAATTGGGATTCAGGTGAGTTTGGAAAGGAATGTTCAGAAATCAAAGAGATGTACACTGTCTTGTTTGAATAAAGCTGAAAGAGAGGGTGTCTGGGAGATAAATACAAAACAAGGTTCTCTGGGTTCAAGTTTAAGAGACATTACATGGAAGACATGGAAAGTGTCATACCAGGACAGATGCAGTCAAGAAAGAGGCCACGGTGGAGTGAGAGAGGGAAAGGCTTTTTGGTCTGCGTTCCCAGGCTGTGCATCAGGAAGGCTGTATTTTTTACACCATGACCACCACATAGCCCTTTCCTGGGGAAATCCGAGACAGAATCGAGAGAGGCTGCTGTGGGGAGGGAGAGTAGAACAGGAAAACCAGCCCTGGGAAGGAGGGAGGGAGGGAGGGAGGGAGGGAGGGGGGCAGGTACCTTGTAGCCCACACAGCAAGAGTGACAAAGAAAGAAGCTGAAGCTTTTGGGAAGACTCAGTGGAACACACGCACAGGCAGATAGACACAAAACGTGAAACATGCATGTACACATCTCCTCTTTTGCCCACTGTGGCCTTCCAAAACAAATTCTGAAAGAGTCTTCTCTTGAGTATTTTGGCTGCAGATTCAGCTGGAATGCAGAGCCAATGCCGCGCTCGTCTTCTATCCAACCAGCCTCAGCTGTTAATCCGATGTTACGGCTGCTCTGTTGTGCCTGTTAAAGAAATAATATTTGACGTTATGGCTACTCTGCTATGCCTGTTTTAACAAACAACATTTCCAGTATATTGCATTACCTATAAGCTAAGATTTAGGTTGGACACAAAACAAGGTATTTCAAGACAGTTTGGCAAAAGGTTCGACATTTTATTAACATGACCAGTTTTTAGGAGCCAGGGCAAATCAACATAGTAGATTTCAGAATTATTATTGTATGAAACAGTGCAAGGTAACACTATAATACTCAGGAAGGAGTGTGGAGGAGTTGATAAACAATGTTAATTGTGCCGTTATTGGGATAAAGGAGACCTGTAAATGGTAGAAATATTAAGTTGGTTGTAATAATCACCCAAAGGACTTTGTACAAGATTTTTTTCAATTAATCATAATGTCAAGGTTTAGCTCTGGAGGTTTTAATCTTGCATTCAGTACATTTCACTTTGAAATCCACAAAATGAGCCTCTAAGATTAAAATATGAAAGTACTACAGAGGCCAAGAGGTTTGATTCCTTGTCAGGTTGACAGAGCTCAAAGGTCAAAGTGAAACTCCACCTCATCTGTGTGCGCGTGTGTGTGGGTGTGTGTATGTGATCCCACAGGTCTTGACCCTGCCGTGCTGAGAGACCAACTCTTCGAACTATGGAACCGGAAAGATCTGCAGACGGTCAGAGTCCCTTTCACAGCGTGTGTCACATATGCAATTTTGCCTTAGTGTGTTTACAAAGGTAGAGAGACATAGTCTTTGTGTCTCAACAAGGAACACTTGCACAGGAGAGAGAGAGAGAGAGAGAGAGAGAGAG